TAACATAGCTTTTGGTTGTCATAGCAATTGTTGCTCTGACCATTTTCGTCCTGAGAAGAAAGCAAGCTGCGTAAGTATGACTATGGACAGAAATGATATATTTTATCTTTTTACTTTAAGAATGTATGTTATATGCAAAATCAATCCTTAAATCAACCGATATCAAGCAATTACAATTTTGAAAGCAACAAATAACAATCCTGAAAACAAGCGATTTCAACAATGAATGCAAGCAATTACAATCCTGAAAGCAATTAATTATAATTTTGTAAGCAAACAATTACAATTCTGTTACTTGTCATTTGCTTTAATCAACACTCTTTTTCATTTGTGATGTAACCAAAGAGTCTTTTTTTTTTTAAAATTGCATAAGCATTTATAGAAATGATTTCTTCTTGTAGCTGCTTCAGCAAAGATGACGAGAGTCTGACTACACATACCCCGGGTGAAGGAATCCATCTTGATAAAATTGAACATACGAAAAAGAATCATTTTAGGTAGGTATCAATACAAATTTATTGTGAGAATGAGCAAATATAAAAGTAAATTTAGTACTTTAATGTAAAGTTCCACTTCGAGTTTTGAATCTGGATATTCTTTCAAGTTCACGTCAAGATGACTTTTTGTTTGTTACAAGCTTATTTATATGTTTTTATACATAAACAGATTAATGAATTTAGCATTGATTGATAAGCTTGACATTTAAGTTGTTGACTTCATGTTTAAATATGTTTCCAAACATCTTTAACATGTGTTGTTAGTAGTAATTCAACATGATACTTATCATAACGACTATTAATGTTATTTATTTTAATGAAGTTAATGTAAATGCTTATTCTAGGTGAAGCTCATTGCCAACTCCCGAACATACTTTACATCAAGTTTGAATCAAGTTTAATTATCTTTATTTATGTATACAATCTATGCGAAATAAATTTTACCTGTAGCTATTGTTTCAATGAATGTGTTTTAAAAATGAAGCTGATTGTTCAAGAAATTGAATGGTTTACTTTATTTATTTCCGAAGAATTAATGCAATTTTGTCTTGTTTTAAAATGTCACGTTAAGTTTGCAAAGAAATGACATTTTGCAATTTTTAGAAATAATTCAAAAAGATAACTTTATGTCATTTGTTTTCAACGGTAGAGGTCTTCTGTGTACAGTTTAAAACATTTATAAAGAATATAAATTATCAATTGATTGAGACCGGTATAATACATCTAATTGCTGATATATTTTGATACTTTGCAGTCCCAAAGGGTGAGTACACATGCCAAAGAAATACATTATAGGCAGACATTTTCACTTACTGCACATCATAAAATTTACACTATACGATTAATGTATTTGAGTGACAACCAAAGTTTAGTAAAGTTTAGTAAAAGTGCGAGAAAATCATTTTGAAAAGCCTTTATTTGTCAATTGAGCAGTTTCCGTGTGTCACCATCGGAGGTGAAATTTCTGTACTATCAGCTTAAAAGTTTTAGCACAGCTGTAAATCACCTCATCAAAATTTCATATGCATGAATCACAAATCCCTTATTATTATTATTATTAGTTACTCAATACTGTAAAATAATGTGAACTTTGCGTGCCTTCAAAAAGGATTCCTTATCAATATTTTTTTAAAGCCATAACATATCGTTGAGGATATCAAGTTTTGCGTATTTGACTTATTGTTAAATTCTCCTTTTTTGTGTCTTTGTTTTTATTCGAAAACACCTAGGTATATATTCGCAATGGTTACAGTTCTTTTTTTTTGAAAATGTTTCTTCTTGTTTTTTAAAGAAGTGTCTTCAATCATTTCAGTTTTGCATAATTAAAAATTTGGAAATGTATCATACATTAACAGTTTTATGTAGACAATATTTATCACGAATATTTGAATTCTTTCAGACAAGGCCCCGTTAAGCTGACTGATTTTCCAGATGCTGTGGAAAGATTCCACAGAGACTCCGATTTGCTTTTTGCTGACGCATATAAGGTAAATAAATTCAAATGGTAGATTCTGTCAACACATTTTTGTCATACTAATTTACATATGGATGGCTGAGATTTTAATTACACATTTAGACAAAAGAAATGTTGCTGTTTTGCTGAGTAATTGAAATCTTCATAGGGTTAATGTCCTTATTCAGCAAATGATTCATAATACTTTGGACATTAAGGGAATTGCAAAAGGTTATGTTATATTAGACGTAACATGGGATAGATTGTAAACACTGTCAGTGAGGTTGTTTTTCTTATTGTTGAAGTCAACATTGTTAAACATCGGTCATAAATTGTTTGTTAGCCTGTTTTTATCATTTTGATTGACTTTGATTGATTTGTATGGTTCTTTTATAAGGAATACTTATATCGAACGACCAGGTCGTTCTGATAAATTCTATCGTCTAATTTACTATAATTTATTCGTTACTCTAGCCTTTTGCCACTAAAAATATTGCAAACCCTGTTTTGTATTACTTTTTGATTTATACTTCTTATATCTAAACTGCAGATTTGAATACTGTTTAAAACATAATTTACAAAACCTTTTTGCTATAATTGTAGATGTTGAAAGAGAAGAGTCCGAACCATCTAATGACAGCAGCAGAACAACAGTGTTGTCGACCGAAAAACAGATACACAAATATTCTACCATGTTTGTATAACAGATCTGTTTTAATTATCGTAATAAAATGTTTCTAAATACGTTCTGTGAACAAACTTTTACAGGAAAGTAATACTTGAACGACATTCTTTTATATAATTAATTGGAAAGGAAATATGAAACATGACAAAACTTATAAAATCAAGATGTATAAAATGACTTTTACCAAACATGTTCGGGCATGTTGCGTGCTCTGTTTTTAATCACATTGTTATTTGCAACTTATATATGAACTTCTGTTACTGTATATGCTCGCTTCATCGTTCTTTGTCGTTTGTTGGTATAACGTCGGTATATTGATATTTCAGTTGATCACTCTCGAGTTAAACTAAGACCGTCTGATGATATTGAAGGATCGGACTACATCAATGCCAACTATATTCCTGTATGTAATTAACATTGTGATAAAGATTGATGAAAACCATTAAGAATCTACAAACTTGTATAAATATATTCTGTCTGAAGATCTGTACAAGCATTGAAAGCCCTTACAGAAATAAACGTATTAAATATCTGAATCTTACATAGTTACATGTAATATTCAGTTTGTTTTCCTTGTCAATTAGAATGAAATTATGCATTAAATATTTGCTGCAAAACTTAAATGACTTATTTTTTATAAATAAAACAGTAAAGGTGTATCTACGATGCTTATAAGTCAATACAATGATCTTGATTATCATGGCAAATAGATATGTATTTTAACATTTTAGCAAGAATGACATATTGTTTTGTAAGTTGAATGCTATAATGCTATTATTTCAAATAGCTCACTGCAAAAAGTATTATATATTGCGTATTTTAATCCTTTATCCAAAGGGCTATACATCCCGCAGAGAATACATTGCTACCCAGGGCCCTATGCAAGCTACTTTTGACGACTTCTGGAGAATGGTGTGGGAGCAAAACGTTGATACTATCGTGATGTTGACAAAGCTAATGGAAAAAGGAAGGGTATGTACATGTATATCTCTACAAGTATATTTGAAGTAAATGACGCATTGTGCAATCCAATAGGTCGTTGTTTTTGGTGTGTAATAAATAAATGCATGTATATTGTTATAAGCTATTTATGTCGTGAATTTACTAAACTATTTTCAAAGGAAATGTTGCATTACTCACTGTTACTATCAAATTAAGATACTTTTATTCTGCAGCAATGAAAAGGCTTTTTGACAGCCCAACACATTCCTATAACAAATATTTCTGCATTGGTTTAGTCAGGTCAAAAATGACATACAAACGTGATATCAAAATATTGTATTTAAATAAAGTTTTTTCCGTTATCTTTTGTATTTCAAAGTTTATGCATTGAAAGAAAACATATGTTATCAGTTGACAACGTGGAGAATTGTTGTTCGCATCATTGAATGCATAATGTTCATGTACCTATTAACAATAAATAATGATAATGTTTATGTGTTACATAAACAATAAACACATTTTTTCAGCATAAGTGTGATAAGTATTGGCCGGATCTTGGGGAACCTGTATTCTACGGAGATTTGGTTGTTTCACTTCAATCAGAATCCAATCTCTCTGACTATACAATTATGATATTTGAAATAAAAATGGTAAGTAGTTTATTTTCAAAATTCATGCTAGTTAATTTTCAATAACTTTTATCGTAATATCTAAAATATAGACACATTTAATACGGAATGTTTTAATATTATTACTATCATTATCATTATAATAATTATTATTATTATATCTAATTATTCTAATGTCTATTTCAAGAATGCTGACATTGAAAATTTGGGGATTAAGAGTGCAATACCTGGCCTCATATACCAGCTATAATTATTTGCAGAGTAAACAATAGAATATCCAAAACGTCACCATTTGCTGCTGAAATATTGTATATCACGTTAAAAATAAAAAAATAAACACCCTTGCATTTAAATAAATTAAATCACATCATGTACATATCTGTCCGGACACATGGTACTGTAGTGTCGACAATTAAGGTAATTTTGATACACTCCTTGAGAGCCTCAGATATAAGTGTCAATATAATCAGAAATAAACAAACTAATTTGTTAGTTAGGAGAAGAACCTAGCTATACTGTGTCAAATGTTCAGGCCTCTAGGTTTGAAATTATGAAATCTTTATGGAAAAATGTTTAAAAAGTGTCCGGTTGATGGCTCACGTCCAGTAGCATAATTTTTTCTCTTTAATCATTAAATTGTCTATGAGCCGAGAAGAATATGAGCCGGAATTATAAATGGTTAATCTATACAATGCTTTTTTCAAATAGGGTATTAAACAGAAGAAAATAAAACATTTCCATTTTCTTCAATGGCCTGATTTCGGTTGCCCGGATAAACATTGGCCACTTATCAACTTCATATCAATTGTTCGGCAATACAGGCCGCCATTTCCAAAAGGACCATTATTGGTTCACTGCAGGTACACTGCATGCTGTAGAACCAGACTTCTGGTGCATGAATATTGTGATAAAGAGTAGTTTAGCATTATCCAATAAACCGAATAAACATTAACCTCGCAGGCGAACAATTAGCATGGTACCTGAAACCTAGCCTCGTACCCTGTCAAACAATGTAAAAACAAACATATTGATTGCATGTATTGCACTTGAAAAAAAAGCATTAAATGTTATTAAAACAAAATAACAGTCTTTTTAAACTAATAATAGTATGCATGCAATTTTTCATTCGATCGCATCTTGTTTTTAAGAAAGAGGAACGGAAAATGGTTCGTCACTTTAGTTATTTAAAATGGCCAGATATGGGTTGTCCTGAAACGCCGGAATTATTGTTAGAGTTCGTGAAAGCTGTTAAACAGTATGGCAATCAGGTAAAAAATAAGCCCTCGACTGGACCAACGATTGTCCATTGCAGGTAATTCTTGATATGTAAATATAGCAATGTAAATAAAGCAAAGTCTAGAAACTCGTTTGTATAATTATTTGATATAAGGTGATTATCAAAAAATGAGATTGACAAACACATCACATTAATAAACTAACTGAAATTTGTTTTTTGTAATCGGCATGAAGCATAATTATATTTGAATTCCTTTAAATTTAATCCAAGGTTTCATCATGCTTTTAAATCTTAATATATAGTAATATAAAATATAGTTCACGTCGTTTCGTGTTAAAGTAACATTTCATTACTTGAATCATAAAGCATAGATTATATATTCAATTGTTCCTTTTTTCAAGCGGTGTTTTTATTAACTGCTGACCTTATGTTATGATGACGACAATGCATTTCCCTTATTATTATTATGTTTAATGCATTTACGATAGCTATAGTAGTTTGTTCAAAGCATGCCCCAAATAAACAACCATACGTTTGATAGTATAAAAATAATATTTTATAGTAAATCATATTTATTATCGATACTCATTTCATAAAGCATGTGTATATTACTTGTTTACAGCACGTCTATGGAAAGCCATGGCTGTCTGATATTGTTCTTTTTCAATTTATTTCACCATTTGGATACTATATAAGTTCACTTCGACTATATATGACTTGAAAACACCTTCTTATTTAACCGGAATCCATTATATCAATCCACATATACAATATATGAAACCATGCCGTCAGTGTATGAAACCAAGGTAGCTATATATAAGTTGATTTTCTCAATATATGATACAAGTTCTTCAATATATTGTACAAAAGTAGCCATGTATGGAACCAGATATCCTTATATTAAACCGAATTATCAATATATTAATTCATTAATACAATAAATGAAACCATTTAATCAATGTATGGAAACAGAATAGCAATATATTAGTTGATTATCACGTTATATGATAGCAATGTTTCACTATATGGAACCAAAGTAGCCATGTATGGTACCAGGTGTCCTTATATGAGAAAATCAACTTATATATTGCTATCTCGGTTTCATACACTGACGGTATGGTTTCATATATTGTAACTGTGGATTAATATAATGGATACCGGTTAAATAAAAATGTGTTTTCAATTCATATATAGTTGAAGTTAACTTATATATTACCAAATGGTTAAATAAAATGAAAAATAACAATATCAGACAGTCATGGCTTTCCATACACGTCATTCACCTATTTTAGTAACACTTCATAAGTACGTTATTAAACATGTATTTGAAAAATACAACGTATGTAAACGTGATATATATAAGTGAATAATGTTAAAGTTCATGTGAGCTGTTCACAAACAACGCAGCATTTAAACGTTGTAGCTTATATACCAACAAAACTATTGAATGACCCTTAAGTGCACCGCCAGTTAAGAACTAAGCACATATCAAATATGTGTTTGATCATAAACCTCCCTTTTGATAAAGGTACAAAAGCCAGCTTTAAATCGGTTCTCTTTAATTTTTGAAAGGCAACTAGAATGTTAGTGGGCCAATATATTTATTTGTTAACATGGTATACTAAATATTTTAGAAATCCATAAATGATTATTACATTTTTTTTAAAACGAAGTAATATGATAGAGAATTCATTTCATATCAATTTTATGTCATAAACGTCAAGACTTACTAAAATATAAGCCAAACTTTAATGTTGCAGTGCTGGTGTAGGTCGTACTGGGACATTTATTGCAGTGGATTACTTGTTACAACATATCAGAGATCACGACGAGGTGGATATATTTAATCTTGTCCTTGACATGAGAAATCATAGGTTGAACATGGTACAGACAGAGGTATTTCCACTAATCACTCATTGTTCTAATAATTGTGACTGTTGCATAATAAAACATACATGTATAGTTTATAACAGTGTTGAAGATCAACAGCACATTTGTCTTGATCATAAAAACGGATTAAGTCAGGGGAAGTTCGTAGCAAAAAGGTTACTCTACCATAAAAAAATTGGTGTGAAAGGAAGTTTATAGCAAAGTGGTGTTTCAGAAGCACCTTTGTTTCTACCTTTTTGTGTTCAGATACCATTTGTACTATTAAATCTCTGTGTTCGAGGAAACATCATGGTTAAGCAGAGTGTACGACTCAAAGAACAAGATTAATTACCAGGAAGTGTAACAAGTCTCGACGTCCCTCCCTTAAAAGAAATAAATCAATAAATAAACCACATCAAAATGTCACGACACCTGAAGAATGATTTGAATTATTAGACGGAACGCATTAATAGCACACGTTTTATTGAACAATACTTTCTTGCTTTAGAATGTGTATTTTATGACATGAATAAACATTATATACACATTTTTAATGCGAGAAATACTCGTAAATATAATTATAACAGTTATAACCCGTCTTGTTGATTTTATATCTGCAGGAAATGTGATTTTCTTTATCAGCATTTAAACATATGCTTTAGACTATACTTGAGTAAAAATCGATCTCCATCTTATTGTCTCTTTTTTAAACCAAACATAACTATTATATTTATAAGTCAAATGTTAATATTTATCTATATTTTAAGGACCAATATATTTACATCCACGAGTGCCTTAAAGCGTTCATTACAACTGACGAGGAAGAAGAAGAAGACGAAGAAGAAGGTAATGTCATAACTTTTATATTTAAATGGACTTTATAAAATTTCTTTTGTTCTGCTTCGAGTGCATTTGATATTGCTTGTTTGAGTTCAGATGCTCATTAATACTATCGCGTAGGTCATTTATGGTGTCAGTCCACTAAGTTCCCAACCACTATATTATGTTAATCAGTATCATTTCAAAGAATAAATTCAAAATTCAAAAATAACTCTGCTACAGTACAATAAGGTCACCATGTTGTTTCACAAAAATTCACTTTGTAGTGTCATCCCTGATTTTATCAAGTTTAAAAGTTCTGCCATATTCATTTTTTCTGCACAGAAACTTGGTCCTTACCAGATATCATATAAAAACTACACAAATGCGGTACATTAAAATGTGACCTATCAACTTCAAATTTTCTAAAACAGGTTAGCTTTAAGTCCGTATCTGTTTGAAACGAATGATGTTTATATACCCCTGTTTTTTACAATTAAATAACACTGTTATGCGGCAACTTACTTAAAGCCTCTACATGTATTTATGGTAGGTGACTTACGTAAAATACAAAAATGTTAGCTGAAGATATTGTAACAAATTTCACCTGTACATTTACAAAAGCAGCGTTTACATAGGGGGCAACTACGCCGTGATATGCTTATTAGCAGGCAGAGTAATTTGACATCCCGCATGCTCATGTAAAATCAATAAAATCTTACCCGCGAACCTTCTGGAAACAATATGTTTATATAGTTTTTTTGTATATGTGTCTCCTTACGTCATAACCGTCAAAAATCTCGGCAAAACTTTCATATCAAAGTACGCAAAGGACGAACAAAAGAAAGGGGCTCATGAGTATACGTGGTGTTTAAGAACTACATATTTACCTTTTGATGTGTATTATAATGTATTATATTTCTATTTTAGCTGTTTACGTGAATACTGGATTTGGAGCCGATGAAGAAAACATATACGTTAATGCGTAAATTGAGAAAGATTGACTGGAATAGCTATTGAACAAAATGGAGAATAATTGTTTTGAACAAAGACGATTTATGATATATACATATATGTACATGGATGTTAGAAAATTTATAAATAAGAATTATTTTTCAATGCATGTAATGCATTTGTTGTGTTATTTTTTTTTTATATATATTTAGTTTATGTTTCGTGTACAATGGTGTAGACTCACCTGGACTGTCCGAAAAATATTTAAAGGCTCGATTACATCTAATATTAAGAATCACTGAAAGGTTTTGTATGCCTAAATTTAATCTTAGAAACCTTTAACAATGACTATTTGTAAAAGAATTGGATGCATATTTATGTTACTTAACAAAACAATGTAAACTGCTTGTGATATGTGATTTTTAATATGTTTATAATATTTATATGAACATGCATTCTCTATAGTTAACATTTTAAAATTGAAATTTTCATTAATTAAAGGGACCAAAGAGATTTTTCTGTGATAGACACAAACGTAATATCAAATATTTATCTTAGATTGTGTTTCATGTATTTAGAAAAAAAGCTATATTGTAAGAAGACGCATCATAAATTGTAAAAAACGGGAATAATTGGCAAAAATGAATTGTTCATGTGGATCTTTTTTACATTGATTGAATTACTTTATCAAGTCACAAATTACATACAAAATATTTATTTTTATTATGATACACAGAATCTCTTTATAATAATATATTTATTATATTTATGAGAAAAATAACATTTTCTTTACGTTCTATATTATTGACATTTCAAACATTTTACTGTTCATTACTTATAAGATTATGATTCTAAGTATATATAATCAAGGCAATAATAACAATGCTTACCAATTGATAGAAAAAATCTAAACTATTGGTCTGAAAGTTGAAGCATTTTGACTATCACATGAAAATAGCCATTTATTACTTTTGAAATAATAATTGACATTGACGTACCTTTTACCAGGCAGCTTGGAATCGTGTAATTTGTTGACTTTAGGAATGTTATAAGCCCTGTAACAATACAGTATCATAAATAAATCATTAGCTGTAAAATATCATCACTGTAAAACATTTATACCACTACCACTTGATTTTCACTATTCTAGAAATAAATAATCTCCCATGCTCTGAAATATATATACGATTTGTTTAACATAATAACCGCAATCTCACACCATGGTCCTACTTCACCTATTTTGCGTAATTTATCCTAAGTGCACCAAGAACATACGACTACGAGTGTCCGTCAGAACTCACGTTTTACATGTTTTAGGAAATAACTTAGTTTATATTCCACGGAAGTGTCTGAATATTAACTTCTGGTGTGTTTTGGTTCTTCTAATATAAAACAACTATTAACAATTACTAAATATCTTGTAAATTTAAATTATTAATGCTCTTCAATAATGAATATTTATCACTATTATTATCTCCTTATCTCCTGCCTCAAATTTCATCTGATCTATCTTTTTATTTTTATACACTGGATCCATCTTCCAAATCTCCAAACTAGTAACCTCGTTGTCAAAGCTCTTTGCTACATTTGGAATTATTCATGTAAACTCGCGACCTGCCCAGAAACAACATCACGCCATTCGCATTTCAATTTCTCATTGTCCATAATTATAATATTTACGCATAAACGAGAAATTTGAAGTTGACATCATAGCCCTATCCGAAATTTGACTTGATTTGCTATTCACGTTTTTTTCATTTTCTGTTTAAGCAATGGTAACGTTCCGGCGCAAAGGGAAACTTCTCACGTTCGCCCAGTGTGTGAAAACGACCCTTAAGATGTGTGATATTTTAAGAGCTTTCGAATGGATTATGCATAAGTTAACTTCCTGGTATAGAAATGATCAATTTTATAAGGATTTTAATTTGTTCTGTCCTTTCCTGGCTCAAACTTACAGTCAATTTATTTCAATCTATCAATCAATCTTTACACTATAGACAAAAGAAAGAAGTAAGAATTGTTTTCTGAGACATATCCAAAGCATTACAGAGAGTCTTGCATTGTTAACTCCGATTAAGTGACTTTCATGCTCAAAGTCGACGATGATACAACACATTGCATTTGAATTAATAACCCCTTTCTGCCGTTGATCTGGCAAATGCAAATCGCCGTTAAATTTCGTCTTGAGCCGATAACTACATATCATCGTAAATTTAATCATATGCGATATTTCGCTGAAGAAATAATCATTGTGCCCCGAAATTATCTTTATAACACCCACACAAAATTTTTTCTATCTATGAAAATCTTGGTCTCACGTTCTGTAACGAGTGTCCGTATGTTGGATGTCAAAAATAACTTTACAAAGTGTTAATATTGAAATATTACTTGAAACAATTTGTAATTCCTTCATTCTTCGCCTCGCCGATTCTTTAAAATAGCGTTTCACAAAAAATCGTTTAAAACGATAAATTTTAGGAAAATCACATTCCGCACTTGAGCCTTGGTCCATATATACTCACTAGTTCTTTTATTCGTCCTTTTCTTTTTTTATGTTATTTACAAAACCTTCGATATATTTACTTGTCATCTGTATATCGCGCTGACATTTTTTTTGTTTTATATTAAGTAAAACATTTTTTCTTAAACCCATTAAAAAACTTTTAAAAATACCTTCAAGTAGGTCAACTTGACATTGACCCTTATGTTAAAATTTATCGAATTCGTTAAAATTGGCCATAATCTTGATATAAAGGGATGAAATTACAGGACTGGGCGTAACCTACAGTTTGTAAACAAACCCCGCCATCTTTGAATAAGAAATGTGTAGTTTGTTTATGGAAATGACTGAAATATATACAACACTCTCCACAATTATCCGCTTCATTTGTTGCTACCAGAGCTATTTGGTAAAACAAAAGTTATTGCGGAATTGCAACTCGAAGGGGGCCATATCTTTTAATGAAATATTGTAGATACGACGCAGGTCATATTGTTTTATCCATGGGTTTTTTTTTCCAGTTTGATTTCAAGCCCTGATTATTCATATTAGGACAGAACAACACTTAGCACAAACCGACGTGTTTAGAAAATCAAGTTTGACGTTGACATTTAATGTCAAATTATTGAATTTTGATAAATTTCTTCATTATTTTTTTGCCTTGTTTTCATTTTTTGGCATTACAACCTTTTTTCAAAAAATAACTTCAAGTAGGTCAAACTTAACACAACTTGACCATTACTTGACCATGAGCTTGAATGGTAAAATTTTGCTCTGATTTTGAGAAAAACTAAGGTTTGAACCTACGTGTGGCTCTTGTTTCAGGACAAAACGCGTTTGTGTGTCGGTATTAATTAAAATTATTGAAAGTTTTAGTTTTTTTACAGTTTTCTCAAAAATGATATTGCATATTATCGTTTCACCAACAAAGCATTCTAGCAATGAGGGCTTAGCTAATTTACAAATATTTTCCTCTTTATGACAGACAGACCCCATGTATTGAACATTTTTATATATATTTAATATATTTCTTTTCAATTTGTAGACTTTTATCTGTGCAAAATCGTAATCAATCTACGTTTTGATAATTAATTTGAAAAAAATATATTAATTGTTTAAACCGAATGTAATGCATGCTAAACATAAAACAAAAGATTCTATATGTCCCCCAAATGTCCAACATTTTTTTTATACCTAAAACCCCGAATACCATTAACTGGCTAACCTTAAGGCTGCATCAAAACATTTTTTAAAATCACCCGTCGTTCATCTGAAAAAATATTGTGTGTTTAACTTATTAGTATATCTAATAAAATTGTAAACAGTAAAAGGAATCTTTCTTTTGTAACGGTCGTTGTTTTAAGAAGCGTTGAAGTCCCAATATTTTTTAACGACGACAGCAATTATTGTTTTTTACTATTTAAACAGGTATAATCACAAGTTACATTTGATTACTAATTTGAAGTATACCAATGTTGTTTTTTATCCACATCAATACTTCCAGTATTGCATATCCTCTTATGTAAAGAAGATCAACTGGTTGATAATGAACAAACAATTATTTTTAGTCTAAAAATATATGTAGATACTAATTGATTTGACAGACATAGGATCTTTTGAAAGGAGGCGAAATTTCGTTAAACAACAACAAAACATAGCATTATTTATACATTACAACGCAATTTTTTATTTTTGTCCGATTGTTTATTTTCAAAAGCTGCCAGGAAAATGTTTTGAGACTTTACAATTTCACATGTAATATGAGACAAAGGTTTTATATGTCACATAAAAACTATACATTTTTCTTTCCTTTTTATGTGAAACCAAATGTTTGAATGATAACTTTTAAGAACTTTTGAAACTAACAGACAGTCCTGGTTATATAAATCTGATTATGTCATTTATTTTCATTAATTAATTCGTTGATCTATGTAAGTTCTACATTTCCGTCTATGCCAAACGTTTGCCAGTTCTTTGTAAATAACATGTACACCATCAATATTGTTTTCTGTTTAGCTTTTGTATTTATACAAAACAATTCTAAACAGAATCAATTAATCATTCTTATTTTTAAATTCATTGTATTTTAGAAGCATTGTTTATAGCCATATGCGTTAATTCTATTAAAAAATACGATATCATTATTGTGTTATTCACTTTTATTCAAACAGATGCAATAAACACAACTTACTTTGGTTTCAATGTAAAAATGTTGCTTATATCCTTCATGAAGCTATTAATAGTAGGGTTACACGGGTCATCACTTGCGGCAATACACCCAAGTCCATTTTATAAACTCGTCTGTTTTAAAGATGTTATGATCGCTTTGGTGTTGTCGTGCAAAAAATGTAACGTTAAAACTGCCAAGGGACATTATTAAACGTTATATAGAAAGCAATGTCTAGAGGAGTTATGTCCCTTTGTACCTTAGAATATGTATAGAAACTGGTTACTTTAACAGTCGATCGTTAACACTTCAACTGCAAGATCATAGAGATAGTTCAGCAGGACTTCTTTGTTTTGTGTTTTGTTCTTTTAGTTCTGTCTCTTTTCTTTAAAACTGGTTGGTTCCAGAATTCCTCACTTGAATATTGTTTTAGGATATGTTGCCTTCTTTTTGTATTTTCCGATCGAAGATCAGTAAATACAAAGCGGACATTCAATCTCTGACATAGAAGTTTCACGACAAACCTAACAACAAGTAGTTCTCAAAACAGCTTAAAACTAGCTATTTAAATGAAAGAAATATTGTTATTTTGTTACAAGTATCCAACAAATTTCAACGCATTCAAAGTTTGAAAGTAGCGTTGGCTTTTAGAATTGTCAATAAATGCAATCACAAATTACGCGGATGAATATGATTTTAATCAATGAAAATGCTATTTTTAGCGATGTCGATTACCGAATACGACAAAGATAAATCTGACTCCCGAGTAGTGGAATATATAGATTCTAAAAGTCGGACTGTTTGGGCGAGAAGATTTTCGCTAAATTATTTACTTCAAATTTAAACGAAATTAATAAGGTTTACAAACCCTAAATGCAATGGAAGTTCTAAATTTAGAATGACTAGTTTTTATTCATGCATTGTTTACATAACTTCTCCATGGTGCAGGGGTAACGCGCTCGTCTAGTGTGTGAGAGGTCTCGAGTTCTAAACCTTGTCGAGGTAACTTTTTTTTTTAAATTATTTTTTAAGCGTCTTTGTTAAAGAAGTAGCCATGATATGCAAGGATAAAGTGTGGCTGTCATAAAAATGAACATAAATTATTTTTTGATGCAACTCTAGTTGTGCAAAATTCCGTATGAATCAAACTCTGATGCCTTGCAAGACAAAAAAATAACCTTATACAGGAAAATGTATACAGTACGATTTAGAAAGCAAAGATCAGAAAATACCAAAAAGCTTGCAGCCCTTTGATTTAATTTGTACTTTGTATGGTAACACCCATTGTTTTCTCGTTTCGTTTCAATTTTACCTTTTGGAAAAAACTTAATTGGATTCTTTATTTCTCTCTCTGTCATACGCCAGGAAATTGTTCTCGAGTGCTAGGGGTTGTATCAAGTTCCAGCCATGAACAGGCTCAATCAAACTGAGCCTGCAACATTTTCAATAGTGTTTTTTTTGACGTTCTTTATGGGTTCTGTTTGTTTTTTTTCCATTTGTAGGATTTCAATATTTCTGTTTATATTAGGCATGCAAGTACATGTTAAATCACAACACAGATTATGCTCGATTTTCATTGCAATCAACTCATTATCAATAGAGTCATGTCCCTTTGTCAGCTTTTTTTTTGATAATTATTATGTTTCCACAGAATAAACTATAAAAGGATATGACTGAATGTGTTTTGATATTTGCCATGCAAGTATGCTACCAAAAAATATAAAATTTAATTTTCTCTGCAATAAACTAATTGCAACCTTAAATTTATTGATTTTTTTAAATCTTATAGACACATTTTTGTATAAGAAACCTTCCTGTTAATTTGCCATCGGGCGTATATTGGCCCGCCTCATCGGAACTCTTCTATGTTCATGTTGAACATCTTGATTTGAGATTGAAGGAATTTAATGGCGGAGGTGCGGAGTTTTATTTAACTTCGCCACGCGCCCACTCAAATTAGCGTGTTCTCGCTCCGCGCTCCGTAGTTTCATTTCTCAAATCTCGCTCTGTGCCCCGTGATGTGAAGTTTATTATTAAACTTCGCCCACGCCCCGACGATAAGCGTGCTTTTGCTTCGCGCCCCGTCATTTTAACTTGTTAATTCGTTGCGTAGTCGCAGCCAAAAACACGTTATACTGCTTTAATATCTATATGGTGTGGAAAGTGTGGAAAAAAACATGTACTTCGTTTAAAATTTAAGATATACTTCAACAGTGAAATATGATTCATATCATCTACAAGTAAATCATTCATTGTGAACTTGTGATTAGTTTTCTATAAACCTAATTAAAATGAGCCCTTCATTCGTAAGTATGTAATAGATATGCCTTTGTAGCGATAATATCTGATGATTATCATATAACTTATATCATGTATGTACTTAAAACAAACAAATTATCCTCTATTAATACATATTTGATAACTGAATTTAGATATTCATTAAATCATCAAGGTCGTTAAGATGTTATACTTACATTGGCAAAGATTTTGGAACGTTTTTTTTTGTTTTTTTGTTTTTTTTGATGTTTCGATTCACGCTCGCATAACACCAGTTTTATATCAGACATATCCATATTATTGCACTTTTTTAATATGTGTAACCACTGGCGCCGTGAAACATCGTTGACTGCAATCAAGGCCTTACTAACCAGAATCGCGTTTTTATAGCAAAACTAAACCGAGTTGTTTATTATGCGAAAATAAAACGCAGAGTTACTTAATCAGACGAATACATTATGCAAGTATAGTACGCATGCACAATTGTTCGTATAAAAAGATTTTATTTATTATAGTGTCACCCCTACAGAAAGGGCCTGTCTATTTCTGACTTATGAGAATCTTTTCGAGGAGTTTTCCTCCCAAATCCACCACTATGCCAGGCGCCAGGCGGATATAAATCGGTAACCATTCATTTTAACTATCTCGCGGCTCACGAAGTGGCCATTTCGGAACGGGTCCAAAGAAAAACATTCATCCTTCAATTAACGCTCCCCGTTGGGATCGAACCCTCGACCTCCCGATCCGAAGGCGGACGTCTTAACCACTAGGCCGGCCAACAGTACCGTATATAAATGCATAGCAGAATCTCTCAGACTATCAAATTTCTGCGGTCTTTTGTTTTAAATTCAAACTATGTTTTGCAGGTATTTTATTAAAACAATGGTGTATTCACCCTATAATTTTACTTATTATCCACTCAAACGAAAGATTGTAAAGGAAGACAGTCTAACGTTAAAGGGCAAGATGACTTTGTAACATTGACACGTAACTTTTGTTGTTGTTTTTTTATTCTTAGAAAGTGCTTACTTACTTTCATGACTTTCTTAAAACAATGTTATAAAAATTATTGAAATGTTGTATTGATCTTTTAAGAAATATCTAGAGATGTTAACGTTAGAAAATTATTTGTGAGTTTTTTTATTTCAAACACTAAAGTTGGTACTTCTAATTTCAAAAGTCAAAACAAGTTATGATCATATCAAATTATTGATAACGAGTTTGTTTTATCTATTATAGATAATGTGGACGTCGAATGAACAAACTTAGGAAGTTTTAAACAGAAATGATGGACGTGACATCTATGAAATAAGCAGAAAAACAAACACACTTTATCAAATTTCATTAATTGATTAGTTTAATGAACCGAATTTCGTTGCAAACGTTTTAACAGTATAAAAGTGATAATACTGCAGACGTGAATATAGAAGAATGCGTGTTTTTCATTTTTATTCTTGGCTAAATATGTAAATGTGAGTATACATACTACTCAAAATTTGCTAAGGGTCATTTTTTCTACAGTGCGTTACTTTGGTGTGTTTGTGATAAATGTGAAAATTGATTAAAAGGTTTTAAAATTAATTAGTTAGGAATTGAATTTTATGAAAATAGTGACAATGGAAGTGTTTCTTCACGTTTGCCTGTTGCGGAAAGAGTGTGCTGGACGACGAGGAATAAACATCTTGCAAATCAGGAAATGGTTGGCGTAGGGTGTTAAATACCGAGTATTGTGTCCGCGGGCATGAATTACGGCCTGGCATCGCCGCCGCATACTGCTGATGAGCCTGCGTACCTTGTGATGAGGAATCTGGGTCCATTTCTCTATCATTGCATGTCTTAGCTCCTGAACTAGAGTTGGTTAGACGTGGCGTGAACAATGGCTTTCTGCAGCATATCCCAAGCATGCTCAATTGGATTTAAATCCGGGCACCTCGCTGGCCAATCCGTGCAGACTATAGTTGCCTTCTCAAGATATCGGTTTGTGATGTGGGCTCTCTTTGCAAGGGCGTTGTCATCGATAAGATTGAAATCATGACTGACTGCGCCAGCGTACGTGCGTATATGAACGTCTAAGATTTCATTGTAGGTGCGTTTTCCCCTGAGCGCTAATTCCCGCCCACACCATGACCGAACCCCCGCCAAAACGGTCGTGTTCTCTAACGCATGCTGGAGCTAAGCGTTCATTTGGACAAACTCCAAAGCCCGTCTGTCCGTGAAGTCAACACAAAACCTTGAGTCATCAGTGAAGAGGACGGGGGTCCAATCATTAACTACCCATGTGACATGAGTCTGCGCCCATAGATAACGCTCTTGAATATGGCGTTGTGTCAAAGAAATGCAAATTGCTGACCTCAACCCAGCATCATGCAACCTGTTTCTAACAGTTTGTGTGCTTCCATGCACACCAGTTGCATTTTGGAAGTCGTTACGTAAGGTCGTAGCGTTCGAGAACCGTTGACGCCTGGCCTGAAGGACAAAAAATCGGTTCTGGGCTTTTGTCATGAACGTTCAAGACCTCCAGCGTGGCCCTGTAAGACATTTCCAGTCAGTTCCACATCTTGGAGACAACGTTCTAGGATACCCCAAGGATATGGGCAACGTGCCTTTGTGAACGTCTAGCCTCCAACATTCCAATACCCCTGTTCATCTCATCTTCACTAAGACGACGTCTTACCTGTCGATTGCCATAGTTTGCACTGGTATGCTTGCAAGAATATTGTCTACATATCACGCTTCCTTGACTCGGTCTGTAATGTCACATTGATGTAAATCTAAATGTTTCATAATAACTGCGTTCAGAATGAATGGTGAGCACGTTGCTCCAAAAAGCACTGACTTGAAACGGTATATCTGAAGAGAACTATCCGGATCATTTGGATCTGATAGCCAAAAGAAACGGGTGACGTCACGGTCGTCTTGATGTAGGCTGACGTTTAAGAATGCTTTCTCAATATCAGTGCAGACAGCAAATTTGTTGTACCGGAAACGCAGTAATATTGATGTCAAGTCGTTAAGTTGTGGTGGTATATTCATCAGACAATCATTTAAACTTGGAGAATTCTTAGATGACCTGCAACTGCAATCATAAACGATACGAATGGGTGTGGTTGCCGAGACTTTTCTCACAGGATGATGGGGAATGTAGTGTACTTTTCGTCGTGGTAATAATGGGGTCGGGACTAATGTGTCGTCTATACTAGGAGATAATGGCTCTGTAACCTTCTCTATAAATCCTCTCTGTTCCTGCTCGTAAATAATATTTCCATATTTCTTTAGAAGTTCTGGGTCTTTTTTCAATCTATTCATAGTTCTTCGTCGGCTTATGTTCTCGTTACTTGATAGAAAGGGATGGTCATCTTTCCATGGTAATTTGGCAATGTATTGTCCATTACTGTACGTAATACTATTGTCCTGATACTGTCTTGTTTTCTCAAAGTTTAACTGTTGGTTTGGTTTCTGTTCAACTCCAATGGACTCCACCTCCCAAAATTTCTCTAAATTCACAACATCTTGTGTTTTCATAGTAATAACGTTCATCATGGATACGGGAATCGACGTAGAATTTATTAGAGTACCTGTTTTCAATGGTCCTGATAGAAGGTATCCGATTTTAGACAGTATAGCTGTAGGCCCGTCTCCTCTAATAACTTGATCTTGTATAACGTCCCAGTAATGATCAGCACCAATAAGAATCTCGATATCAAAATCTTCATCTCCTGAGACTGGATGTGCGAGTTTGAGCCCTTTCAGGTAAGGAAGGTGACCAGCATGTTTGTGATAAGATTTCAGTGGCATGGAAATTTCAGGCACTATCAAAACATTTATAGGAATATTTTCTTCTGCTGTTTCTAAATACACGGTTGCTCTGCTTAAATGTCGCACGCGACGCTCTGTGTCTCCGAAACCCGACATGTATAAAGTTTCACTTCCGGTGGGCTCCAATTGTAATTTTTGGGCTAGGTGTTCACTTATAAATGAACTCTGGGAACCTTCATCAAATAGGATGTTGGCAGAAATGGAAATACTTTTTGAGGTTACCATGGAAACTGCTGTCTTTAATAACACAGGACCTGGTGTGGTAGAGTGAGCAGAATGTAATACCGAAGTGGAGTTCTTTTTCGCATTGTTGATAACAGGATACTTATCTGTAGATTTGGCTGCTATTTCTACTCCACAAATACTAGTATGATGTCTGCGTGAGCATATTTTACGCTTGAATTTAGACTTACAGTCTGTAATCTTGTGGTTTCCCAGACAATTAAAACAAAGCCTTCTCTCCTTCGCTATATTCAGTCTCTGTTCACGATCTTTAAATTTTGCACAGTCTATACAAGAGTGCTCTCCCTTACAAAACACGCATCTTTGTCTATGTGATCGTAAGTTGCTTGGTATGGGTGTATTTTTTCTTTCTGTTCTAATATAATCAGATTTTATTAGAAAGGTTGCTGTCGGGATGAAGTCTTGAGGGGTATTCAGCAAATTTCCAGCGTCTAAAATATTGATTTCATTCAGTATACATTTCATCAATTCACACAAAGACCCTGACTGCATCCCGTGCGCACGTGTAATGTTTGTTCTGACCTCTGGCGGTAGTTTTTGAAGGATAACAGGTGTAAGTAGTGAACCGTATGTGGTCTCATTCAGATTCAGTGAAGCTAATGCTCTGATATATGTCTCTGTTGTATCATAAAATTTTCTAACATTCTGTATAGTGTACCTGGGTGCTGGAACTTCTAGTAATGCTTTCATGTAAGTTTGTATAATTCTGTCCTTTTGACCATATCTCTCATGTAACAATGAAATAGCCTGTTCATAATTAACATTAGTTAAGGTGCAAATCCATCTATTGTTTGCAAAGCTTCATTATTAAGACATGACTTCAAGTAATTGAATTTCTGTACTCCGCTAAGTGAAACATTCGTGTGTATAGCAGACTCGTAAGAATCCCAGAATGAACACCAGTCAAGGACATTTCCGTCGGACTTCGGCAAATCTAACTTTGGTAATTTGTGATATACTGAGCTTTGAGATAAGGACGGTAAGAAATGTATCTGGGAAGTATTCTCGCTGATACCTGGCGCACAAATCTCGGATGTTTTGCTTGATACGGACGCTTGAAATGGCTGAGCATTAGGGTTTAGAGCTGGGGAATTGTAGTTCAAATTTGAAATTGATACCTTCCTAAAATCATGTATCTTCTGTATCTTGGTCTTTAACATGTATATATACTCATCATGCTCAATAATTTCTGTTTCTATTTGTTTTTCTTCTTCGTCTTGAAAAGAATCAAGGATCTTTTCGTGAATCTCCTTGATCGTCTGCTGTTTCTGTTTGAGGGAGTCAATGATCGTCACAAGTTCCTCGTTATCGGCTGCCTCCCGCTGAATTATCTCGAATTTGTTCAGAAGTCGTGTAACTGCGCCTTTGTGACCCTTCTGTATAGAACGTAATTTTGTTGTCATAGTGTTATCCGGTTCGCGGGACCAAAATGTTGTGTAAACACTACATAATCAAAAGATTGCACTGGTTCTTCAATAACGTTGTTTTATTTCTGATTACCGGAAGTGAACTCATATAATGACGTCAATACAATAACGTATAAAATGGCGCGTCACGCTAAACGACGCTAATATTGGCGCAATAACTCTGTACATACATATGTACGTAACAAGCTTTGATACTTTGGTCCTGTGCCATATAAGGAAAAGACAGTTTGCTTGTGAAAGTGTTGCCTACATATGAAAACTTTGATACAGTCTCTAATCTGTTATCATCAAAAAACCACTTTTCATGCATACTTAATTTCCCACCCTTTTTAAAAACCATAATCTTAGTTTTGCTAGGATTAACCTTGACAAAGTGTTGATCACAAAATTGTTTTAACAAATCAAGCAATTTCTGGAGTCCATTAACAGTATCTGAAGTCAGAGCTAAATCATCTGCAAATAATAATGTCAATATCTCTGTAACATCTGGAAACAACTGAATACCTTTTAGCTGACAATTTCTATTTTCCTTTACAAATTTCATTAATAAAATGACAAAAAGTACTGTTTTAAGCCTATATGACAGTCAAAATACTCTGTTTAAACCATTATTTGTTCTAACACAAGCTTGTACAGAAACTATATAAACTAACCATTGCTGAATACAACTTCCCATTTAAACCGTTTTCTGTCGACATATTTCCCAAAGCTTATTTCTGTTTATTAAATCAAAACCACTTAATAAAAATCCACAAAGGCCACATACAGTTTACCACCCTTTTTTGACAGTTGTTTATTTACATAGCTTGAAGAACAAAAGCATTATCTGTCTAGAATAGCCCTCACAAAAACTCTGCTTGAGGCTCTCTTATTTTATCAAATATATTTACATAAAATGTTATTCTTTTAGTTAAGATGCAAGTATAAATTTTTCCTAATACATTTTGAAAGTGATATACCTTTTATAATTACTTGGTGTATTGTAA